TTCAGTCTTAAACATCACTGAATTTAAGGTGATAGAATTTTCCTACATTATTTAAAAAGAATACAGGGGAGGTGGCATATAGAATTTTCCTATATTATTTTAGATATTTTTATTTATTTATTTAAGGTGATGGAAATCAATGAGTCATCAAGGTTGCGTGCTTCAATTACAACAGAAAATCTTCCTGTTAAAATACTTGTTCATCAAATTCTTACCCCTTCTACTTCTGACAGCAACTTTTGTGCTATGAAAAGGAAGGTTATAGACTGTTAAAAAAAATATAGCTGTCCCATAATTTGTAACAATTTGTATTACCATTATTTGATTTTAATAATAATTTGTTTTGTTTTTATTGTTGAGGTTATAGACTGATAGTCTCATGCTTTATTAAATCTGGAGGATCAGGTTTGAAGAGGAAATTACCAGAGGAGAAGGATCCCATTTGAAAAAGAATATGAAACATTGTTCTCAGGTCCAACACGCACCATTACTTTTAATGTTCGTTTTATATTATGATATGTTGGATTCAGTTATGATGTAGTGGATGTATAAAGATAAATTAATAAAGCTTAGGACATATCACATATGGTTTAAAATGGTTCTTCTACTGATTTTTAGTTCATTGTTTTTTTTTTAACTTATCTATCATATTGGGTAAGTAGAAGAAAATCTGTAAATATATTTTGAATTTATGCATATTAGAGTATTAGTACAGCAGTCTTAGTTTTTTGCTTCTTAAGGTTTCTCTCTCATGACTATTAATCTTCTGATTCGCCTTTTTCTTTAGACATAAAGAAGACGTTCTGAACCCTAACAAAAAGGATTTAACAAAGCTTTCTAGAAATGTGTAAGTTTGTAATTCAACATGTTCGTTACTTTTTGTGTTATATTAATTGTATTTTTATAAAATGATATAAATAGTCGGAATTAAATGGATTTTATTGAATAATGGTATGAAAATATTGCTATGAAATTGGTTACGGAAAAATTACTACGAAATTGGCTATGGAAAAATTGCTACGGAATTGGCTATGGAAAAATCGCTATGGAATTTGTTACGGAAAAATCACTATGAAATTTGCTACGGAAACATTGCTATAGTATTGGTTAGGGAAAAATTGCTATGACATTTGCTACTGAAAAATCGCGACGGAATTTGCTACAGAATTGGTTACGGAAAAATTACTACGAAATTTGCTACGAATGTGCTA